GCGATCCCTGTTGAGCCACTTGGGGTTCTTGGGGTTGAACTTCATGATGTTCTTCCACAGGACGTGGGCAACAGGCGCCATACCCCTGTGAAGAATCTTGTCAGTGATGCTTGTTCAGCCAGGTGTGGAGGAATGTCGACGGAGAAACTTACATGGGCGCGCCGGGGTGGCCCGAGTTGCTGTTGAAGGTGGCATCGACCTTGAGGCGAATTCACATCAGTATTTGGAGGTCCGCGCGGAGGAATTGAGCATTGCAAGGTTCGCTGCGATGCTTTCGTCGGCACCACACAAGGACCGCGCGGTGACGATGTGTGACGACGGCGGGGCATCGAGGATGGCGGGGTCGAGTTGGGAGGGGGAGGAACTCACGGCGAGCGTGCGGATCGTGTTGATCGCCTTCCAGTCTTGATCGGTGTAGCCCATGATTGCGGTATTCTTCTGGAGAGCCTCGAAAAAATGAAGCTTCAAATGGGAAAAAAAAATGTGATACTTCACGGAAGAATTGGTGATGCAGGAAAGATGATGAGAGATTACGCGGGTAGGTTGGAAGGATATTTAGCTGGGCCGTGGATAGGTTGGGAAGGAGGGGTGGAGGGGTGGAGGGGTGGAGGAGGGGCAGAATGATGGTGGGGGTGCAGTGCCACTGCCCACTGAGCAACGCCTGCCGGGAAGAGCAGAGCGCGAGCGAGCGAGATGATCACCGTCCTCCCACCAAGGTCAATGGCGTCCGAAGCACGTTACGGTGACAAAGCTGGCTAGCTGACTTCTCATTCACCCAGCTCGTACTTGCACATTTTGCGCCCCCCCCCCCATCCCTCAACACGCATTTCGAGACGCTGAGGCCGTCTCGGACTGGTGGGGCCGGCGCTATCATATCATCCACTCGACGTAAATGCCATCGAACAGCACTCATCCACCTCACCGTCTTGGGTGCGTCTTTTCCGCGATGCCCGCCAGCCGCCCGCGACGGGTCTGACATTTCCGTCACATCTCCTGTTGTTATCTACCTATTCTCTGGCCATCTTGCACACCAGCCTCGTGTGCTAACGACACCATTGGCCGCCTCTGAGCTCGATTGACCGTGGTCGATAGAGTGTCGAGGAACAAAATTAGTGCTATGCACTCGAGGTGGCATTCCGCGTGCACACCAACTCCACGGCGATTTGTCCTCACATCACCGACCTTACCGGGTGGCCAACAAGGGAGCTAGCTCACTCAGCAACCAGCCAGCGAGTAGGCCGCCGAAACGTTAACGGCAAGCAGCCAAACCCCCCACCAAGGTCCAGCGTGTCCGGTGTCCGGCCCATACCAGTGCCACTCTTCCCCGCTGTCGGCGGTCCGAGCTATGTCATCGCTCCTCCTTTTGAGTCAGTGCCAGATCTTCTTCACTGTTCCACCACCTTAAGAGTTGGCACAGTTGTATAGGTACGTGGTTTATGGTAACTCCGCAGGGGCTCCATCAAGGTATCGACGACCACGAACGAACGGCCTAGACAGTACGTCATCTGCAGAGTCAAGCAGAAACATGACGAGCTGGGGGAGGGGGGGTTACAATGTGTGAAGAGAATTCTGTGGCGATTCTTTAACGTCCGACCTGAGTGGCATCCCACCCGAAGATATGGGCAGTGCCAGGCCAGTTCGTCCGCGGATATCGTCGCATCACAGGGCTGGCTTTTCGATAGGCTATCGCGTCGACATCGGAGGCGAAAGTTACTAGGGGGGCACATTTTACTGCTAGGACCCCTGCAGATCCGGTGCGTGCTTTCGGGACTTCCTCACTGCGGCGCATGTACCGGGACTCGCCCGCTCGCTCACATTTCCGTCCATACGCCGAGCAACCTCACGATGCCTTCAGCCAGGCCTGGCCCCAAGCCCATTTATGTGTTGAGTGAATTAGCCACACCCGGCGGATAATTTAACCGCGCGAATGGGATTTGCGAGTCTGTCCGAAAGGCGGGGCCTTCGGTGAAGACTCTCGGGTTGAACACGTCTATTTAGCCCAACGAATCACCCAACCCGACCGAGCTTGGTCGGGAGAAGGCGTCCAGGGCCAGAAATCCTGTTCGACATCTGAATGATACCTCCAGGCGGATTCGGGAACATGTTGGAATGCTTGTACAGCGGATTTTTGGCTGCTGAGCCCATTTGACTGGCTCTGATTATAAGGGTAACTAACGTAGGTAGGCACGGCGTCTGACTGATGCACAATGTACTAGAGGCCTGCCGTATATCATGCAAACCGCGCTGTAGCCTGCAGTAGAAATATCCCACAATGCCTCACCCCAACCAGTAAATTTGTATCTTCTTACAGGATCTTCAATACTGACTATCTGACCTTGCACCGAATGAACTGAACCAAGATCCAAATCATTTCAGAGTTCCTTCAGCGGGTCACGTAAGAAGATACTTACACATTCACTCGAACAGCATCAACATCATGCCCGGTAAAAAATCTCACCCATCGCAAAATGCGCCTTCGGGTCAAAAGCCTTCCTGGACAAAGAAGAAGCTCTCCAAGACAACGAAACCCAAGAAGGCATCCGTTGAGACAACAGAGGAGGAACTCACCACTCCAGAACTCCCCCTGGCTCTGCAGCAGCCATCCTGGACATCTTCCGCAATACCTTCGCCAACCTTTTCGTCGCCGCTGCAACAGAGGAGGACCGCGATGCCTTCGTCCTGACACCACTGCTTCAGGAGATCAAGGCTGCCCTCTTCGCCCGTGACTTCGACGCCGCCTTCTCCAACGCCCGCCCCGCGCTCCTCGACGCCTACGCCGCTCGCTGGAGTCCGACCCGAGCCCTGGCCTACGCCGCCGCGCTGACCGGACTGACAGAGCACCTCGAGGCCCTCATGCTGCCGGTCGAGGAGGCGTCTGCAGAGGGCGCCAAGGTCTCGGGGCCCCCCGAAGGTTTAAAGAGGAACCTCAGGGTGGTTTCGTTCGGCGGCGGCGCCGCTGAGATTGCCGCCTTCGCCGCCTACCTCCACATGGTGAACGCGCCCAAAACCCCTGAGGACAACGGTGAACCCCTGACGGGCACCATCGACCTCGTCGACTCGGCGCCCTGGGGTCCCGTCGTTGAGGCCCTGCACGGGAGCCTCACAACCCTGCCAGCCCTGTCCAAGTATGCGAGTGCCGCTGCCAAGGCCACCAACGCGGCCCTCGTCGACCCGAGCCTTCTTTCCTCCGCCTTCACCCATGATAACGCGCTCACCATGTCCCGCGACCAGCTTGCTAGTCGATTCGGAACGGCGAATGGCGACGGAAACCCCCTCCTTGTCACGCTCCTGTTCACTCTCAACGAGCTTTACACAACAGGAGGCATCGGCAAGACAACGGCCTTTCTCATGAATCTGACAGCTACCGTTCCCGATGGCTCACTCCTTCTTGTACTTGATAGCCCGGGGAGCTACTCTGAGGCCGCTGTCGGCAAGGAGTCGAAGAAGTATCCCATGCACTGGCTGATTGATCACTGCCTCTTGAAGCCAGAGCAGAGGGGATCAGCGCAAAGCACGGGCGGCCGGTACTGGGACAAGATTGACTCTCAGGATTCAGTTTGGTTTCGCCTGTCCGAGTCGGTGACCTATCCCATCCCGCTCGAGAACATGCGGTATCAATTGCACCTCTATCGAGCTATCAGGTCATGAAAAAAAAAAATAAAGAAAGAAAAGCAAAGCAAGCAATGAGCAAAAAGGGTAGAGCAACACTTCATGTCGTTCCACGAAAGACTCATCAGAGTCCCATGATGCGTACCGCCATGCTAATATGATTCTTTCCAGCGAGGCTCTCTGACCGCCCTTTTACCACCACTCGGCTATCCTTACGCCCAAACAAGCCTCTTGATAGAGTGGCTCAACTGGTCTAAAATCGTCGTGTTTGCATGTGCGTCCTCCAATGAGATGATGTCACTCCTCTCGATGATGCTCTTGGTTCCAGGCACGTCCTTTCCAGGCTGCGCTTTGAAGGCCAGTCTCTCGACATCAGCACAGATACTCACAACCTGCTGTGTCTCGCTCAAGCGTGGCCCCTCACCCGTCACCGCGGCCGACGACTGCGAATACGGCGCCTTGAAGGCGAGCTTTCGAGTCGGTGTTTGGGGTTTGGGTCGATGACCGGACAGCAGGCCCATCAGCCCCGAGAGCGCCGCAGGCTCGTCGACCGCCACCGTGGTCAATGACTCTTCTTCGACCTGACCAGGTTGTTTGACAAAATTGCTCGAAAGCGTACGAGTATTTGTGCGTTGGATGTCAGTCTTTCCAGGCTGGTATGACACCACGAACCCAATGTTTTTACTCTCGTCGGTATGACCAGGCGAAACTGTGGATGTAATATAAGTACCGAAGCGAATACCCACGATATGCGCGAGGTCGACACGTTCGAACGACGATACCTTGTCAAGCTTCCAGTCAAAGCGACAGAGATAAAGGGCAGCATCTGTGAGAAGGAGAATCACTTCTTCGAAGGGTGTCTGTGACTTGACAACGTCAGACATTGGAGGGCTCAGCATGACCCATCCGCCAACAAAGTCCTCTTTTTGGTCTGAGATGACGCGTTTCTGGCATAATTCGATAGCTGATTCACGCATCTTGAGCATCGACATGGCGGGATCTTTCGTCATCATTTCAGCTTCGAACTCTTGAAAGACCATGGAAGTGACGTTGCCAAGGAGGAAGTCAATGGCAGCTTGACTGAAATAGTCATTGACCATGCTACATGTTGTGTTAGCGAGATCTCCGAGATAGCCCTTGGACAAGCTTACCCGTTATAAAATCTTGTCAATGAGAAGCCAAGATCATTGAGCATTCCTCTGTAGTTCCGAGTCTTGTACCGTGTGTAGTCGCCTTTCATGGCTGCCGTAGAAGCGCTAGAGAACCGTCAGTTCAACGAGTGTAAGTTGCTTTCACGGGTTTCGACTTACTACTGCTTCGACACGGAGTCTCCGTTGTCCGCCCACAGCGTGTTGAACCATGCAGATTGCTGGTCTACTTGCATGCTCAGATCGTATCCCTCAGCCTTGAGCTGTGATTCCAGCATATACTTTGCAAATGAGCTCTGGCAAACATTTGTCCGGTCGAGACAGTCCATGCAATTTGTCCGAAGCACTCCACGTTGGCGAAGGAACAGCTCTCCATCCTTTTCGACAGTGCTCCCAAGCTCATCAAGCTTGGTCCTCATGGCATCCAGAAGGAGGCTGACGTTTTCGAACTTCATCCCACGACAGGCTGCGTGGAAATCAAACCATTCGAACGGGACTTGAGAAGTATGATCGCTGAAGACGGTTTCGTTTAGCTTCGCGACAGTATGCTGGTATTCGTTGCCGATTGTAGCCTCAACATTGTGTTTCTCCACCAAGTTGACCACTTGCAGCATACCATATTCTCGGTGAAGGCGCTCGAAGTGCTTCTTAGAGGCTTCAAAGTTTGCCTCTGTGGAGTGTTGTATGACTGGTGCAGGTTTCAATGAGTACGGACTCTGGGTGAAGAATAGGGGTATACTGCCGCGAATTTGCAGGAACGAGTAAATTTTAGAGCTCTGATCCCACGAAGAGTTAGACAGAATTTGTTCCGTCTCAACAGCGTTGGCCACATGGCCATCCTCATCAACACCGCGGCGCAAATATCGGAGGCCGGCTCTCTTAATGGACCGCCGAGAAATCACCGTAATCAGGAACTTCTTTTCCGAGCCCCGGAGATCCAGGGAGCCGCGAATCACTTCTGTAGGGGGCGACCCTGGCGGAGATGTTGGAGCAGACATGTTTGACATTTCCAGTGCGTTATTCGCGTCTTCGTCATGCTGCGGTGGGCTCTTATCCATGATAAACTCCCTCTGCCCGACGAATCCCTGCATGAGTGGGAGAACTAGCGCATCGTTTCCGGAATCAATGAATGGCTGAGAAGTATTTCGGTTCCAGAAGAATGTAGGTTCGACGCGACGGTATAGTGGCAGCTCACCAGATGGGGATTGTGCTCGAGTCGCCCAGTGCCTGGTTATGTCTACGTCGTACGAGAAGAAGAAGCTCCTAGATGACCCGTAAAGGATTTGCGCGGTTCGGAGCAATTTGGGAAGCAGAGAAGACGCCTTTGCTTCGTTGACTCTGTCGTCCTCTTCTTCCAGAGGCACCTTCGATGGCGCCGGGGGCTCCAGGTCTGGGCGCTGGTCCATCGAAGCTCGAGGCGACTCGGTCGTCGTGTAGCTCCAGCCAGCGTTGCGTTTCTGGCCCTGCATCCAGCCGGAGCTGCTGAACCAGCGCTGGGCGAATCGACCATAGCCCCCCTTACGACTCATGACGTCTTCGGCGACGGTGCTCTTAACGCCTGCTGAGATGGAGCCCTCTGACTGCGTCTGATCGTCGACCTCATCGACAGCGTGGGCCATCAACTCGATGGTACTATCGCTGTCCGAGTCCTCTGTGTCCGTATCATCAGTACGGGTCTGCAGCTGCACGGAGGTCCGATGAACGGCATCCTCGGCTTCCTGGCGAGAGGCGCATGGTGTAATTGCAACCTCGGTGACAACGTAGATAGGAAATCCTAGAATTTGAGCGACCTGGTGTCGACGGGTAATTGTAATGAGGAAATTCAGTTTTGAAAGGGTAATCAGGCCTGTGTGATAGAGAGAGAAGGTCAGACGCCTGCTTCAGAGAGGGAAGCTCTTGTAATGTCAACACACCCACAACACCAAAAGCCTCGAACGAGGCGTTGGGCTTGGTGAGATCAGGGAGTTGATCCCGCGGCGCTGGGGAAAGGGCACCGTCACCATATCCAATGCGGACGGGCTGCGCAGGGCGCTGCCCTTTGGAGGACAGAGGCTGTACGATGAGGCCGTCGATCGCCGCGCAAATGACGACCTTGCGAGCGATGCCGGGCATTGCGGCGGGGTTGTGCCAGCAAGGGTGCGAGGGAACGAATCGACTGTGGGACTAGACTCTGACTGGGTAGACCTATGCCAGGTTGAGTTCCATTGTCAGCCCAATAGAATCTGCGCCAATCCCGTGCTCGTGTCAAGTCAAGTCACCGTGATGTTGAACTGTTGAAGTCTAGCCACTGGGCCGTAGAAAGCACGCAGCGAGAGAGGTAGGTAGGGCAGGTAGTCAGTCAGGTCGCGACTGACATCCGATGACATGACGTACCACATACTTTGTGCACCGACCGTGCGTGGCCTGCCCTGCACTAGCAATTGGGTCAAGGCGGTACCACCTTTGCCTGGATCTCCAACGCGACCCCAGCCAAGCCCTTGCTTAGGCCAGCCCCGGTACCGTTACAAACAGCAGCTCCGCTTCCATCATCAAACTGTCATCACCACGGAGAAAATTGGGGGGTCTTGCTTGGCTTGAGTATTTCGATTCGTTATTCCCTCAATGACATTGTCAAAGTCGGGTATCATATTAACATGTATTAAAAAATAGTAAACCCCTTATGAGCCTGGCTCCAAGCCATCGAACAAGTCGATCCGAGGCATGCCAGCATGCTGAATTACCATGTGTCCGCTATTCCGCGCGGTCTGTCTCTCTCTCTCTAGAATTGTGTCACGTCGCCCCGTCTTTCGGAACGTCGTCGCGGTGCTCGGTTGAAAGCCCTTTAGTCGTCCTTCTTCTTCTGAGGGATGGGTTCGCCCTTCTCATCGACGAGGCCCTTCTCACGCATGACCCTGAGAGCATCATGCAGAGGATCCAGTTCGGGACGGGGCGCACGGTGTGAATCGAACGCGTTGTCAGCCCATGTAAAGTACTGTCCGTAGTTGACGTTGAAGTACAGGTGGTGCAGCGTGTGATGTGCAGGGCTGTTGATGTACTTCTCGAGCCAGTGGCCGGAGATCATGTCGCCGTCATGGATGAAGATGGTCCAGATTTGGACGAGGATGAACAGAATCAGATACAGGTGCTTCTGCACAGGACAGAGGAACACAAAGGCGCTGATCGAACGGTCAGTACTAGGTCACGCCTGTTCAGGCTGCGCTTTGCAGAAGAGGAACTGACTGATACGGCAGAGATTGGACATAGCCGTCAAGAGGGTGAAACGCCAGAGCCGCCCAGGGTGTGGGCACTAAAAAGGTCAGACTTTGTAGCATGCGATGAACGTGAGAAGCAAACTCACTAATCCACTTGTGATGAGGCTTGTGAATGTACTTGTACACGCTGGGGTGGTGCTCGAGACGGTGAATCCAGTAAATGAGCAGGTCGTTCCAGATCATGAACAGGACTGTCGAGACGGCCATCCATGTCCAGCCATAGTCGCTGACATTGCTGTAGAGGAAGCTCTTGCCACGGACTTCGCCCAGGAACCACGGCAGGGTGAGAATGTTGATGAAAGGCACGGCCCACATTGACGATGCGATTTCCTGGTGCACCTGGTTCTTCAGAAAACGTGGGTGGTACTCAAGGCGACGGTCGAATATGAAGTAGTATGAGAATGCGCTGAAGATGAAATACAGTAGTGAGGCGCCAATCTGTGTGATCAGAAGGATCGAGGTGCACTGGCGGAGGATATTGTCGCGTGCCCATGCCGACTCGTAGACAGCCGACGACAGCGACTCCGTGGCGTTAGGGGCCGTTACGGCTGGGTGAAAGTAGGCGTAGGCCCTGTCAAAGACCAAAGGGTCAAGGATCTCAAGAGCGGCGTCCATGGCGAGGCAATGCGCGCGTTTGGTGATAGTCTTGTCTGGTGGTTGAGCGAGAGTTTGCCTTTGCTAGCCTCGATGGCCGAGTCTGCAATGTTTTCTTTAATTGAGATTGAGTTGAGGCACTGCCCACCGAGCGTGACGGACCCATTTTCGGAGGTAGCAGCACCCCGTCGTACGAGGCACCCTCTTTTTTTTTTGCCCCTGAATCACATTTTAGTGGAGCCCTCGGCAACGATGGAAATGAGGATGCCAATTCAACACTTTCGCCCCTTGCGGTTGCTTATTAAGAACCACCTGCCTCAAGTGGCGTGTTCGGTTGCTCAAGTTCCGTGCCATTGCCTGATGTCTGTGAGACGTCAGGCACGTCATTCACCAGAGTCGTCTGATGGTTCGCCTCAGAGCTCAAGCTCCTCCGGGATCAGCTACCCCCGACGCCGAAGATACAGCCTCGGATCGCCGAGATTCGGGCCGGACTCCGACAGCGCGTAACAATGGCGTGCATCGCGAAGCCGAAGGCTGTAAACCCCGGTCTCACCCTGGTTCTTAAAGTCCTTCTGGAAAGGGATCCCAGGAACTCCTATCCGTGTTACGCCTAGGCCCAGTCATCTACTGGGACCATCTCCACTGCAGTCCATGCTGTGCAAGTCGTTCAACTACGGCGACAGGTCCTCGCTTTACACCGTAGTTCACTATAGGTCACTATTCCTCGAAACAATGGGGGACAGGGCTGACAACCAGGGTCGGATTAGCGGGTACCCTATTGCTTGCACGGTTTCAAATTACCGCTTCGGGTCAGCCTATGTAGATATCTCAACATAGACCGAGCTCAGACACCAAGCTCTTCGTCTTTTAGACATTTGGGGCCTGGATCATGACCGCCAATTGTCACCGAAAGCAGTGGCGCGTGACTGATTCATCCGTTATCTGGGCTCTACCTACCTTAAATCAAGATGTGTTATATCGGTCTCAATTAAATGATACTCCTGCTCGGTAATTTGGCATGGCATACTTCATGACATAAAAAACCGCTGGGACGGGCAAAGACTGCTCGGCAAAGTAGTCTAGAGTATTGAGCATCATTGATGTACTGCGGATGCTGGGTTCATGAACGTGGAACGGGAGTTTCAAGCCACTTCACATGTCCAGTTCGGCAGCCCACCCATATCTTTCTACTTCGTGCTCACAACAGCTTGCCTGCTGTCAAAGGGTGCGAAAATGTCCCAATATTAGCTCATCAGACACCAATTCCTTTCGCACTCGGAGGGCGTCGAATCTCTCGTCTTCCCAAGCTAGTGTTCCAGTCTTGAATTCAGACCCAAAGGCCACAGCCTGCCTGAATGCCCCAAGCTCTACGGTACACTCGTGGAGCCTTGATATACAAAGCTGTGCTAAGCAGATTTCGGCCTGGCAGACATTGGGGTACACGTCTCAGTGTTAAGAATGACATCCAGGCGGCTGTAGCTCGACAGGGGTGGTATGCCACTCCATCGTTCCTCACTACACGGTCAATGTGGTTGCTTCCTCTGCTAAGAGACTGGCCTCTTCGGAGCTTCGAGTAGATTATTCTCTGCAAAACCACACCTTGTAGGTATCTTACTGGAACAAGTTCGCTGATGAATTGATACCTTGATGCAGTTTCCTACGCTCTTCACCCGGATGGTGCGCCGGTTGGTGCATCCACGTAAGTGCAAAGCCAAGATAAAAAAAATTCAGGCGCATAACCTATAGCGCAGCTTAGCCGTGTGCCAGTAAGGTATAGACCGTCCAGTTATAAAGTCACAAGCAATGCGAGGTTCCCAGACTTGGTGGCTTTTATTTCTTGACTGAGCCAACTACAGCTTGTTCAGGTTCCATGATACGCAACAAAAAATTTCACATCCCCGCACGTAAGTGGTGGCCTTGACAGGTTTCGTATGGCCCTAGCATCCCAGTCCCAACGCCGTTGATTTGTGGGTATCTTAGATAGCAAGGCGCTCAACCTTCTCGCGAAGGGTGCGGATGGAGTTGGCAAGCTCGCTGCCCTCGTTGCTGGTGATGCTAGCGGCGATAACAGCACGGCTGACACCGCAGGCACGGCCCAGGGCGATCTTGCTCTTGACGTAAACGTAGGGAACGTCTGCACATTGTTAGTATGGCGGTCTGGAACTCCATGGATCCGTCCAGGTAAGACTTACTCTTGTCCTCGCACAGAAGAGGCAAGTGAAGCAGGATGGCGAGAGGGGTGGTATCGGCAGCGAGAACGATAAGCTCAGAGACACCACGGTTGAGAGACTTGGTGGCCTCGTTGGCGCCCTTCTTCAGCTGGCGGTAGTGCGAGCACTGCTGAACCATGTCGAGGAGCTCCTGCTCGAGGGCAGCGTCGGCCAGGGGCCAGGCAGCGCTTTCGGAAGCCATTTTTTGGTCGTTCGGAGTGCTCGAGTAGGGTCTGGGAAGTTTGGCGCAGGGTTCCTTGCGGTGGCTCGCCCTGATCAGATATGCTGGAAGTCGTTGAAGAAGTGATGCTCGTGATACAAGAAAAGACTGCATGGTATGGCCTTGAAAAAAAAAATCCCACTATGAGAGACGCCAAGCTCCACAATTGGATGGTGATGTGGTGGGGCACACATATTCGGAGAAACATAACATCCGGCTGCCGAGGATCTTAGGTCAGCAAGGAGCTTCCCGCAAAACCTGCACCAAGCAAGCAAGGCGCGCCAGCCTGGAATCCAGACATCAATCAAGCATCCTCACAATAGCAGCCGAGCCTCCAGCCACCAAGGTCCCGTCAACAAGCAACTGCAACCTTTCGAAGTCCCGACCCGAGCCATCTCCCGATTTTCGCGAAGCTCTCCTTTACATTTCCAACACTTCTTTTCCCAATCCCATCACCACAACAGCTAAGATGTCTTCCGAACTCTGGTACGTCGCCTACGTGTTGCCCCCCTTCCCAAGCTCCTGTCCATCCCTCGGAGCTTCGATCATCAATGATCACGGATCCCGACATCTCTACGCGCGCGAACACTTGCCCAAAATCACCCAACACTAACATTTGTTGCCCTCGCAGCCCCGTCTATGCGGTTCGTCACCCCCTGCTTCGGCTCCCGATTCCATGACGTCGTACTCAAACACGATGAGCTATTTCAGCATGGCCTCAACACCTCGGTATTCAACCAGCTAATCTCGATATCATTTAGCCCTTCTTCGGTGCCATGGGCTGTACAGTCGCTATTGTCTTCACCTGCCTTGGTGCTTCCTACGGCACCGCCAAGTCTGGTGTTGGTATCGCGGCTATGGGTGTTCTCCGCCCCGACCTGATCGTCAAGAGTACAGCCGCGCTCCCCTCCCGAATCGCTCATACCTCGAGCCCTACATATAGCTAACGCGCGCTTCAGACATTGTTCCTGTCATTATGGCTGGTATCATTGGTATCTACGGTCTCGTCGTCTCGGTCCTTATCTCAGACGGTCTCCAGCAGACTATGCCTCTCTACACTGGGTTCATCCAGTTCGGTGCCGGTCTGGCTGTCGGTCTCGCCGGTCTCGCCGCCGGTTTCGCCATTGGCATCGTCGGCGACGCTGGTGTCCGTGGTACCGCGCAACAGCCCCGTCTCTTCGTCGGAATGATCCTGATTCTCATTTTCGCTGAAGTTCTGGGTAAGGTCCTCGTTTTGGGATTATCTGGCTGCCTACTAACGTGGTCCAGGTCTTTATGGCCTCATTGTCGCCCTGCTCATGAACTCCAAGGCTACTCTGAACACCACCTGCTAAGGGTCATCTCGACAACATCTCTCCTGGGCGTCGAAGGGTCGACAAGCTGTACCTACACAAGTGATCCTTCTTCGGTGCCCGGGCATTGGGACTATTCCAACCTGCGAGCTCTTACTCGCAACTTTCATACGGTAAACGGAGTTGTCCGGCGAACGGAGGGGGAACTTGGGGCACATGGCAGGAATAACGAATCGCGCCATCCGGGTTCCAGGTCAAGGGGCAATTCGCTGGAGAATGCACGCCGTATTGTACTATTGTGACACCATGCTATCCATTTTTTCTCGGCGGACTCTCATCATAGACGGGTGATGGGGAGGAGGTGTAGTCTAGCTTGACAGTAATGCTTCCATGCTCGATTTGCTTCGCTCGGATGGTCTTTGGTCACATGTTTGTTTGGTTGGTCAATCGTTTCCCCCGTCCGCGTCAATATGAGAGGCCTCACCCGGCGTGCATGATGCCTTTCGACAACACTCACTCACAGAACACAACGCATCATTTGACAATCTACAATTTCTCATCGCACGCAACAGTCCCAGCTCCACCCGCAAAACAACCAAATTGATAACATCAACATCGTTAAATAAGGTAATAAAAAACCCACTAAAGTATGTCTACAACTAGCCATGCCGTCTAGAAGGCTCAGCTCGCGATTACAACACGTAAATTGCCCACGTTCCGCAGCACTTTTCATACAGCCTTCAAGCCCGCTACCGCGCACCCGGGATATATTCGGCTAATCCATTCCCGTCTCTTCGCCAGCCGTAATTACAAACCGGATGACTTGAAGACGAAACCACTCTATAGAAAGGCCAGAAGCAAAGGCGCAATGAAATATTCGCATGTGGAAGTATTCAAATATGTACAAGAAGAGGCAGGATGGCGCACGCCCCTATCCATCCATGTTGCGACAGGTCTGTGTGAACTGTCATGACATGCATTTTAGATGACGTACTATGAATGAGGAGTCAGTCAAGTTTCACACTGTGATCAGAACAGGGCGGGCACATACCGGAATGAGAAGGTAGGGCACCTGGCGTTCGTACTCGAGCCACGCCTCGCCGTACTTCTGTCTGCACTTGCGGATGTCGCGCGCCGCACGGTGGGCAATCATGCCGCAGAAGAAGACGGGGTAGAACCAAGGGAAGGGGCTGTTGAAACCTGTGATGAGACCCCAGCAGATGGCGAAGAAGGCATCGCAGGTGTAGTGAACCTTGCGGGCGAGGCCGTACCATCCGTCGACGAGGATGGTGCCGCCGTTCGCAGCCCTGATGATCTTGGGGTTCTTGACCGTCTGCCAGGGAAGCTGGGGGAAGGACTTGCGCTGGGCGGCCTGGCCGCGCTCGGAGAAGCGGTAGAAGTTCTTCTGCGAGTTGCACGTATCCCAAACCCAGTAAACGAAGAGATAGGCGATGAAGAGAGCTGTAAGTGCGTAGGGGTTCCAGCGGTACTCGTCGGGGTGGTGGTTGGCAAGGTAAATGGTGCAGTGGCAGTAGGAGAGCGGTACACCGGCGAGGTTCCAGAAGATGAGCATAAAGCCCCACTTCTCGTAGTACATGTCCCAGGTGGGCACGATGAGCTCTTCGCCCTTGGAGCACGCGTTGGCATATAGGTAGTGCGCCATGACGAGGAAGAGGACCTCGCCAGACACGTAGCCGTAACGCTCGTACTGACGGGCCGCGGCGCCGCAGCTCAGGCCAAGGAGGATGTACCAGGGGATCCTAACCTCGAAGAACATCTTGAAGTCGAGGATGCCGAACATGCGGGGGTTCAGCTCAGCGCCTAGGAAGAAGTCGTAGATGGGGTATCCGGTCATACGATGCTGGGCGCCACGAGCCAAGGCAGAGAAGTAGGCAACGAAAGAGACGAGGAAGCCGCTGATAATAGCAACGGACATGAGAGGGCCGAATTCGTCGATGAATGTATAGACAGGGAAGAGACCGGTAAAGTGCAGCGCCGCCATGACCGCGATAGTGAAGTACAGACTAGCGTAGGCGCTGCAGTAGTACTTTAGCTGCTTGCCATTCTCGTGGGCGAGGGGCTTTCCCCAGGCCCAGACGCCAGGGAGAAGGCAGTAACAGGCACCCTCGAAAATGAAGAAGGTCCAGTAGATCTTCCAGGCACGGAACGAAGGATAGGCGCCTGTGTAGACTAGGTTGAGGAGGTGAGAACCAAAGTCGCTCCAGGATTGGCCCTCGACGCGCATCGGGGGCTTGCCGTCGTAGTAGGTTGCACCGATCCACATGTACCACATGAGCAGAGGGAATCCAATCATGAGGGCCATGGTGCCAAAGCTGCCGCCAAATTCGAACTCGCCCGAGAAGTCAATCTTGGGGTCGGTGCCGACTTTCCAGCCGTCAATGATTTCGCCAACCTCATAATTGGGCTCATTGCCGTTGACAGCGGTCGCAGGCTGACTGTTGGTCGCAACGTCGGACAGCACATCTTCGGCCGTGACAAAGGGAGCGCGTCCGGTGGCAAGGGGCTTGACATCCTCAATAGTGCCGTACGCAGAGCCGTTGGTGTGGCCATTGCCATTGGCATGTCCGTTGGTGTGGCCGTTGCCGTTGGCATATCCATTAGCGTGACCATTGCCATTGCCATTGGCGTGGCCGTTGGTAGCGGACTTCTTCATTGGTGCTCTGAGGTCGACCTCCTCGTCGTCAATATCTTCTTTGAACTTGGGAATGCCTCTTCTTCGTGCGGTCTCGGGCTTGAGGTTCTCTGACAGAGAGTCGAGGTCGGCTGTGGGCTCAGGGCTCTCTCCAGCAGGCGTGTGTGAGCGGCGGGAGGATGTGCGGCGGGAGACAGGACGCGGGGTCTCTACCATGCCAGTGAAAAGTTCCTTCTTTCTGGTGAGGGTCAGCGTATGCGACAGGCGGAAGATGGCCGGGCAGCACAAGGTTGGCGAGAATCGACTGACCTAGGGGTTGCTCTCAGGGAGTAGCGACCCGTCATGTTGGCGACTTTATAACAAAGGGGGTGTTGAGGGGTGTGTATGCAAGGCTCGTGTAGTATTCAGAGCGGTGTCGTGGTTTTCTGGGTCCAGAAAGGTACAGCACTGGGGAAAGAGACCAGGAGCAGGGGATGAGACAGGACCAGGCCGTGCTAAGGAGTGTAAAAGGCCGCTACGTCGTGTAACGGAGTCCGCATGTACCGAGCAGGAAGCGGGCGCGAGCCACGTCTAACTTTTTTCTGACTTTGCTTCGAAGAAAGTGGCAAAGGAGGGGGCGCGCTGGAGCTGGAGCATAGAGGCGCGACTGGTGCCACGATGACATTCACAGCAAGACTGGTGGATCAACATGGGTAAAATTTTGTTGACATTTAGAATGAAATGACCAACCGGGGGAACGGTACCTCCCGGCGCAGCACAAGCCGCATACAAAGCTTAGGTACCTGCAGAGAACCTAGCGCCCGGTGAGCCCCTGAACCCTTCCCACTGAGCGGGTCTCATGCACGATTCGTTTACCAGATGCACCAATCAGTCGCCGCTTCTAGCATGCGAGGCATCTCAGATGCGCCCGCCTGGGAACCCAATGTCCGGAAAGGTACGTACCCGCCCTGAGCGTTAAGGTTCTTAGACGAGAGGTGCATGATGTGCGAAGTGACCCAGTGTTGCGTCTGGATGTCGCAAGGGAGACTCACGTGCTTCGCCGTTTTGCCTGTAAAGTTCTCTAGCCAGAGTAAGATCTTCTGGGTATCCTGTAGGTACCTTACATTAGGCAGCGAGGTACCTAAGGTTCCCACCTACCCAGGTAGGTACACAAGCACTGAGCTGCAAAAGCTCCGCAAGTGCACTGACGTCAGTAGTATTTAGATACATGCCCCTCCAATCCCTACTACTGCACACTCGTTGCCAGCTCTCGTCCCGAATACAGGGGACCTCATTCAACACACCGACTACGCAGCCTAGGTACCTTACCTAAGGTACTATAGGTAGGCAGGCTAACATTTATATCAATACAGGACACAGAGATAGAGGAGCTGCACGGTCATGAGGGGTCCATATCCAAGATATGACACACAGATTGATCTAAAAAGCCCAAATATGGTGCCTCATCTGCTCACTAGAGACAAATATTGTCCTTGTTCCTTCTCAGTTCTTGGGTTCCCGGGATCAGACCTGCAGCTTTCCGAGGCGCAAATTGTGCCGTTAGATGGTCAGCCATCCGCCTGTATCAGGAACATTTCGTTTAATATCATCACACCGTCCCTGGTACGAGAGAATAGGTTCATATCTAGGGCAAACATCGGGTGCCTTTGGGCGTGATCATCTGCTGTGCCGCCAGCAAGATGAGGACTCGCCTGGAATTGAGGACTTACTCTGATATGAAGCCATCACTGACTACTTCACAAGTATTCCAAGTTCCAACATCGTTGCCTGGTTATCGTTGTCCATGTGGACACTTGAACTGCACCGAGGCCAAATCCCCAAGCGTGCACAAGCACTTTGCTGGAAGCCTACCACATACCACCGTCGAAACAATGACGACTGCGTACCGATGCCTGGCGTTCTTTCTGTCTCTCTCTATCGGAAGAGTTTGCCCACTGTCTGTCTGATCGCAGTAGTTGCACCACTCGCAAAATATTTATAAATATCTTGAATTTCCCACTTTCTGCCATGAATACCCTCTTTCCCCTTCTCTCTTTAGCTTTCTTTGCCTTGTGGCTTTGGTAGGTCTTTCCCTCGCATCTCCAAGCCGTCTCGGGAGTTTTGCTGACAGTTCTCGATAGGTCATTGCGTAGTATCTGTTCTTCTCAGCTTGACCGCTGGGAGCCTTCCTTAGAAAGGCAATTTCGTTCGCTATTTTTTGAATTCCTGGTGGGTTTCCTCTGTGCATGCATATGACACCCTCCACTGCGTCCCTGGTATTTCACTGCCTCCAGGTGATGCGAAAGAAGCGTGTGGTATCTTCATTGCTGTTCTGGCTTGCCCAGGCTGTGAAGAAGGTGCGAATGCAGGCAGACCATGGCAGAACCATTTCGCGTGCCTTGGATGATGTCTGGCGGTGTGACGATCCGCCTCTCCCCGCAAGCTCGTTATAGACGAATTGGCCGTCGACCATGATCATGTTCAGAGTCGCAGTATGGTCTTGTTGTCGGAGAGAAATTGAAATATCGTCACGAGGCTGCAGGCCCCCTCCCCACTGCTGATCCATGGAGGGGCGTCAAGTCATGCAAATATCAGCAAAAAAAAAACAGGATCGAAAATGTTTGCGAGGATGTCAGTCGAAAGCGAATTCCAGATTGAAACGTCGCCCTTCTCCCTCGTAGTGAAGTCTGCTCTGTCACAGTGCCTCGAATGTGAGTGGCCACACCGCTCTGAGTTGTGCCTTTTTGCCAATCGTCTCCAACTTCAACCTTCATCCGCGCGGATCTCACGTCTCAGGCCCCACCCGGCCGTCGTCACCGTCACCATTGTAAACAGCGACCATGGACAGCGACACCAAGATGCCGAGGCTCGCGCCGGCAACACGCCTTCTTGATCCGAAAATATTCGATCATCTCAAGGCCCGCATCGACGAGGACCAGCAGGTCCGCGACGATCTCACGCAGATTGTCCAGCGACTCGACCGCGCCAACGCCCTCGTCCAGGGCTTACTGTCCCGCGTGCACGCCACGCCGCGTGCCCAGTACGCTGCTTCCTTCCTCTCGCAGGTTGAGGCCGGTATTCAGGATGAGATAACTGCTGTCGTCGAGCTGAACGAAAAGGCTTCCCAGCACCCTTACTACAAGTGAGCAGCACCTTTAACCCACCCTCTTCTCTCCCCCAGCTACCACGCCTCACCTACAACTGAACTAACTGTACCACTACGCAGGTACAACCAGAAGTGGAACCGTGCCGTTCAGAGCTCTGTGTTCACTGTCCTCCTGACCGGCTGGCTCGGCGGCCTCGGCACCGCCTCCAAGCCCGCTGAGCTGGGTCGCCTCATCACCATCGAGGAAGTCGGCGAGATTTTCAACAGTGAGCCGGCCCATATCGAATCTGACCTCCCTCAAGTCGCCGCTGTGATCAACTGACGCCGCCCCACCAGTCCCCGTCAACCTCAAAGACCGTGACGCCTTCCACCTCACCATCGAGGAGTACCTCTTCGCCCTCATCGATCTAACTCAGGAACTCAGCCGTCTCGCCACCAATGCCGTCACCCTCGGCAACCCGGACCTCTCCATCCGCATCGCCGCCTTTATCAAGGACATCTTCGCCGGCTTCCAGGTCCTCAACCTCAAAAATGACCTCTTGCGTAAGCGCGTCGACGGCGTCAAGTATCACGTCCAGCGGGTCGAGGACGTCGTCTATGACCTAAGCTTGCGCGGGCTCGTGAAGAAGCCCGAAGAGGCTGCCTCTGTGCCAAGTTGAATACCGGCGGCATGTCACATCTGACGACCAGGCACGAGGGAAGGTCTCAGCAGGTGCCAGGGCAAATGAAAAAGAGGGCAGTAGACTGGCAATTGTTACAAAATACAGGAGGCGCCTCCCCCGAAGTGAATTTTTATGAGCGCTTCAGCGCCATCAACCAGACTCGTGCAATTGCTTGCTATATGTACCTCTAACCTTTCCTTCGCTGCAAAGCACCTGACCAGCGGGCGATGCGCAACAAAAGTGTCCATGACGAACCACGAGCCAAACAAAATATGAGAGGAAGGGGAGGGAAATATGCCACAAAACCAGAACAGTCAGTTGCTTTTATGTTTGTATGTGTGTGCATGTTCGTGCTCTGCCCAAGTCCTGGGTGCCAGCTTGCCAACATGGCATGCAGAGCTCGAGCGACTGACTTCCCGCTGCCTCGCCTTGCTTCCCTTTGAGTTTCCTCTAATGCCGACTGATCCTTGCCATGCAGGTTTACCGACCAGAAATCAACGCTGTGTGCCAAACCTAGATACATGAACCGAAACTTGTATGCCTACTCCCTTTGCAAAAAAAAAACAAAAAACAAAAAAAAGAAAGACAAAGACAAAATCAAACTAACCCCACCTTCCTGTCACTCATGAGTGGATGCTGAGAACTCAGACGCAAGGAAACCCTGATCCGCTTGTTGGAGTATGAATTGGCGCTTTGTTGATTTATGAAGACCATTTCATGTCAGAGCTGGGAGCCCTGTTGCGTCTCTTGCCAGCTGAGCTGCTGGACGCGGGTGCCGGTGTCGAAGCAGGCGCTGACACCGCCGAGGCATTCCTGCTATAGTTTTCCTTATTCGAGTTGTTGCTGTCTGATCGTACCACTGGCGATTGCGCTGAGAGGCTGTTGGGTCGCGTAAAGCTCGTTGACGTCCGGGGCAGACGGCTCTTCGAGCCTGAGCCGGTGGGTGTACCCGATGACATATCGCCACTGACTCGTCGGGGTATCGCAGTTGCACCGTCCCGGCTGCGGGGCCGGTAGAGAATCGACTCGCGCTCCTGTGTTCCAGTCACCGGGGTCCGACGTGGGCTTGCAGCAACTTCAATATAAGCGTTGCCGGACAGGGAGGGATGGTGGGACGTTCGGTGGCGGGAATGGCTCGATGATGTCGGCGTCGGGGGCATAGAGACGGCAGAGTGGAGGCCAGGGGGGGTGTAGGAAGATGTCCGCCTGAGACCAGACCCGGAGCGGCGCGAAGCTATCGACCCTGCGGAGCCTTTGCGTTCGGGAGGCATGCCCTCGTACGTATCACCTTCGACGTGCGACCTGACCAGTTCTGAAGCCAGGTTGCGAACCAAGACAGCCGAGTCCTTGTCTGCCAGGGTCTGAATGGCACCCACCAGAGACTGCACTTGTCTGCTGTTGAGGCTGCTGCTGCCATTGCCGGTCCCCATTGCATCCATCTCGCAGGTGTCCATAATGTTTCGTACGAGGCGCAACAGGTTCAGGCGCACCACAGCCTTCTTGTGGCCGAGCCTCTGACCGATTCCAGCGAACATCTCCGGCATCGCCAGTGAACCACATATGGCGGGACTCAAGCGCAAGAGCTTCAGTAGAGGCTCCAGCAGGTTCGAATCAAACGTATTGATCTTATTTGTGTCGAAACAGGCGACAATGGCGTTGGTAAACTTGCCGTCAAGGAGATGACTCTCTACCTTTGCCGTCTCCTCTTGCAGCCATACAAAAATGGCGTCCAGAGCAGTGACTTGCCAGTACTGATCGGCCAGCAGCGAGACATAGAAGTCCAGACCCTTGTTTTGCCACAGGTACCTTCGGCCCTTGCTGCCGGAATGAGCCATATCGCACAGAATGGGCAACGCAAATTCTTTCGGGGGCCTATCGGTTTGCATGATCCGCATGAGCAAGGGAATGATGCCTCCGACGGCGGCATCAACCTGCCTCTCCTTGTTGAGGCGGCAGAGGTTGAACATTGTGTTGAGGACCTGATTTGATGTTTCGCGGAAATGCTCCTGCCCTCTCTTCATGGTGTAGCTCAGCAGGTCAATGAGGAACTCTATCGCGTCGGCAGAGTGGAGCGACTCCAAGGTTGTCGTTAACATTGATAGGTTTTTGATGAACTTGAGCATGGTGATCTGATGGATAGGGGTCATCCGTCGCAGATCCTTCAGGACGCCTGAGCCAGTTAGTCTGCAGATCAAATCCATGTGGAGTGGCAAAACGTACTCTTGAGAACCTGTCGGTCGGCCACCACCTCCTTAACGTAGTTTTCCGCTTGAGAAAAGAGGTAGAATATATTGACGATCCGACCTTCAACCAGCTCCGACAGCTCATCCTCGCCCTCCTCATCGAGCACCCGGTGAAGGACCAGGGCAAGAGGATACAAGATCTTGCTCCTTGAGAAGATCCTGCAGAAGTCGTTCTTGGGTGTGGGCCCTTGGAGCTCGAAAACGTTCCAGATGCCATTGACACCAATGAGAACGAGATCTTTCGCATCATCGTAGTCTTCGTCAAGGAACTCCACCAGGACATTCAGACCGCCGGCGCTTACAAACATCTGTAGTGTTAGTGTTGAGGTCTGATACATCTGCCGGACAAATGCGGCCGCCTCAACTCGAATCTCGTTTGAGTATTGCCGCGCGGCGAACTTGGTTATGATTGGGATACCACCGACAAAGCAGAGGTTCTCCTGGATCTCAACATCCTCCAGGATAATCTAAGAGGGTTAGCATCATTACGCAAGTTAGTTGGGAAATGACATACAGCATTCACCACTTTGAGTAGCTGCAGAATCATGTGTTGCCTGCTTTTTACGGTGCACGGTTCCAATATTTCCAAGATAGGAAGCAAACCATGAGCGCTGATGATCAGATCTTTGACCTCACCGTTCTCCCAGAGTAATGCAAGCTACAATTGTCAGTGCACTGATCTCCGATTGGGCACACGTTTGACACTTTTCTTACCAGATCCTCGGACAAAACGAGTAGCTTCTCTTCACCCTCTGTCGTCTTGAGTGACCGTACGAGCTCCTCGACTTTCTCTGCCAATCGTGCATGCCGGTCGCGAGCAATGTTCGCCTCAAGATCCATCTCATCCCAACCAGGATCCATGAATGCAAAGGGATCGTCCTCATCCTCATCATCGCCGAGCCACGAGTTGTTGGAAAGCTTGGACAACAGCATCAGGCCGCCATCCTCGGATCCACGGTCGCTCTCGTCCTTCTCCGTCAACTGATCTTCGAGACCAAAGATGTCAGAGAAATCCTCGTCACCTTCGTTTTCGGCAAACTTTTGGATCTCGATGGACGACCTCGTCCTGCGCATCGGCCGGTCAGGAAGGACTGAAGGACGCGAGGGGACCTTCCTTCGCATGCTGCCACCGACAGGTGGTTCAGAAGAGCGAGGCAGGCTCGTGAGATCAGATGGGTGGAAAAGCTGTGGAGCGTCGCCCTGTTTATTTGTGTGAATAACTCGTACGCGAGGAATACTGGATGGATCCACAAGCGGGCTACACACCTTCTTCGCAAACGGGTCGACCCTTTGGTTGAATACGTTGTCGTTGTCGAAAAACAGGTCTGAGTAGTCCTCCACCGATTGTTCACGGTACATCAAATCGGGTCGTGACGGAAGCTCGAACCTACTGTTACCCAACTGTGGCTTGCCGGATGATTTGGTCTGGGAGGGTTTACGGCCATGCTTTCGTGGACTCGACTTCCTTGGTGAAGGCTGCTTCGTCGGATCTGGAAGCTTGTCGCTCCTCTTCCGCGGTAGGGGACGGATTGTCTTCTCCTGGGAGTCAGCATCCATGAATTGATGTGGCCCTTTGATGGTCATCAGCTCCCCCTCAAAATCGTCATCGTAGCTCCCCGAATCGTTTCGATTGTCCACTGTTGAAGCGAAGGCTTTTAGTCGATCAGCAGAAAGGAGACCACCAAAATTATCCTGCGGCTTCAAATGAGGTAGTTGCAACGCGGTTGGGGAGATTGCTGTGGCAAAGTCGTTATCCCAATTGTCGTCATCTGGGCAAGGTCAGTCAACGGCTGGAGCTGCGAGGTTTCAGGTTAGAGGGTAGGGCCTCACCGGCTAGCTCGGGCGATCTGAATGCTTCAGCAGTTGGCCTGGGTTTCGCTAAGGACAACGGACCCTTCGCCGGGTTTGTCAAGCCCGGTCGCTGCGGTTCGCCTGCATTGAATCTTGATGACGGTTGGCCAGAAAAGCCTACCACGCCACCATCAGAACCAGTAGATGCTCGCAGAGAGCTCTCTGAGGACTTGAGTGCCTTGTTCCATTGCTTCACCTCTTCGACAGCCTGGTTGAAATTTGAGGGCGTTTTTGAAACAGGCGCGTCACTTCTGCGGCATCCCACGATCCATGGATGCTTAAGAAGCTTTCGAGCTGTTACTCTCAAATTGGGGTCCTTCTGGAAGCATTGCATCAAAAAGTCTCTCGAAGCCTGGAAGCGATCAGTAACCGATGTAGATATGGCGAATCGTGGCAACGTACAGGAGAGATTCCTTCAGGCAATGGCGGGTGGTCGTCATTGACGATAGCAAACAATGCCGGCATGGCAGCTAGGTTGTGATAGGGCGGTTTTCCTTGGAGCAGCTCGATGACGGTACTGCCTACACTCCAAATATCAGACGCTGGACTGGCTCCAGATAGTTGGATGATCTCAGGGGCCATCCAATACGGTGTTCCAACGACCTGTGCTTCTTTGTCCTGACCATTCGCCAACGTGCTTGTCGAAACACCAAAGTCCGCAAGCTTGACAGTCCCATCCTTGGTTGTTAGGATATTTGCGCCTTTGATATCTCTATGAATGACACCCTGATCGTGAAGGTACTGAAGTCCTTGTAGGACTTGGGTCATGTAAACACCGACGAGGTTCTCGGGAAACTTTCCATATGCCTTGCATATCGAGTGAAGGGACCCATTTTCACAGTATTCTAGCACGATGTTCAGGCAGTCAACCGACTTGACGAACCCGAGGTACTTGACAATGTTGTCGTGCTGATTATACGGTCAGGGGTTGTGGCCCGCGAAGGTCGGAAGCGCGCGCACTCACATGAAGGTTCTTAAGCAAGTCGATCTCGGACTGGCGAGGGGTCAGCATCACATGTCAAGGAAGGGAGGCGGACAGTGCCGACGAACCTCGATCATGCGGAGTTCGCTCTTGGGGGAGGTCTGCGAGTTTGATCTGCTTGACAGCCACAGCCTCGCCTGTGCCCCAATTGAACGCTTTGTAAACAGATCCAAAGGCTCCCTTGCCTAGACATTCACCCAAACGCTGGATAATAATGCTGGTCAGCCGCCATAGCCAACTCTAGGGTCGCCTCGCAGAACAAAGACATAGTTCTTGTCCCCCCAAACTGGGTGCTCAAGATATACGCACGTAATCCTTCAGGCCTGGATCTTGCAAGGCGGAGCTCTCCCGTTGTCCCTGCCTTTCCTTCCGCGGGGTGCTTGAGCCCCTCTCTCGGGTGGCCACCACGGCCGCCCTGCCATTGACGTGGTACTGACGCTCAGCAGACGAGGGCGGCAGCGGTGTGGGCATGGCCAAAGTATTGGTGGGCAAGGCAGACCCTCGCCAAGTCGGTTAGCCGATTCCGAGGATTCGACAACTTCTTAGGGGCTGGTTTTGGCGGTCTCAACTCGATGCGTGGTTGTTTGTTTCGGGTTCGAGTCGGTGGGGGTCGTGTCAATTGTCGTGTCAGTATCGTCGTCGTTTTCTTGATCGTAGTTCGTGTAGGCGTCGTCCGGTCGTAGCTGTCGTAGGGATCGGTAGGGCGGGGTTCGAGGGAGGAGGTGAGATCGGTACTAAACGGTAGGGGCGTCATGCGCAAAAGAGAGATTGGGGACGGCACAGTTCACATTCCCGGTTTCACCGCATGCCAGTCGTGTGGGTGTCTTTCCAATCTTGAAAGTCGCGGCAGTGTGCGACATGTATGTGTGCGTGTGTGTGTATTTCGGGCGGTAAAGTAGAGACCTCGAGACCTGCTAGCCCAAGACTCAATCGACCCAGCAGCAACACTGCAGCAGCGCAGGCAGGTCTGCAGCGTAGCGGAATGCTTAGCGCAAGCGTCAGAATCTGGAGGGTTAGTGTCTGATGCGCGACACGCTGTCCTGTGTTACGCGGTCGCGTAGTGTTGAAGGACCATTCGACCACTTGCTGGATAGGAAGAACTTCGTGAGCAACTCGTATGGCTCAGAATGGGTTGATATTGGTGGACGGGTCAGGTACGAACCGAACTGTGAGGTACCGATCTAAGGGAGTGGATGTTTTGGAGTGTCAGCCAAGTCATGCCTTGTTAGGCGGCTCATCCCTGTGGTTTGCTAATGGCCTGGGCCTGGAGTAAGATGCGCTATTGCACCGCAGGCTACTGGCGACATAGCAGCTGGTGGGTGGTTAGTGAATACAGATCACCCGCGAGCATCCTTGGGTGGGTCATTCCAGGCAGCTACAAGTGACAGCAGCCCCAAGGGGTTGCACTAACAAGCATGGCTCAGTGGAATGCACCCTCCTGAAGGTCAGGCTGACGCACTAGCAACCTACCTGCGAGACAGAGGCCTCACATGCTCGTCAGACAGCAACGAGGTAGCAACAATGCCTTGTATCAATCAGAGTCTGTTGGCGCTCAAGCCTACAGCGATAATGTGCTCCTTGATGCGTTTTTTTGCATCTGTGAATTGGTAAACCTACAGTCCACGTATTGGCTAGCTGCTGCGCACGCTGCCATAGCAGTGATTTCCTCTTTTGTCGCATGGCCAAGCCTGACTGATGAACCCGAAATCAGAATGTTCTGTGTCATTCGATATGGAGTCCAATCTTCAACATTTCTTGCAGCAAGACTTGCAGCGAACTCTGCACAAGAAAATGTGACTGATCATCTTGACGTGGTGGCAGGGAAGCCCCTGAACGACCAAGTGCGTCGTTGATTGTGGCCAGAAGCGGCATGTTGTCAGCCTTCGACGAGGTATTAAGCTGGCGAGATGGACACCTCCCAATTGTAGGTACCTACCTAGGTTCCTAAGGGGCACCTCCTCGTCGCCTTCACTTCAGGCCTTGACCTGTAGTGCTAGTCAAGCCCACCTCTCGCAAGAGAGTATTACGAAAAGTGCAGACACTTCGCGGCACCCATTGGCTGCGTATTTCAATTCGACGTTTTACAAGCTGTAATTTATACATGGCCCCGTCACTGGAGGGTGAATTGACCGCTCGCCGTCAGGAAGCATATTCGCTACAAGTTCAACGCCTCAAACTCCCGCCTTCGAAGGTCGTCAAATACCCCATCGCCCATAGCCAGATGGCGTGGTGCGGACGCAACCGTGAACTTTCTTCGCCCCCCAAAAAAGAACCCTCGTCCCCAAAGTCGTGCGTGTTGTTCGAAATAAACCCTTCCCTCACTCATCCGTTCCATTATTGTCTGCAAGACTGCGTAAGATAGCCCAGGCGATTTCATCCACGTTCGGGGCACCATCAGTCTGAGTCTGGACTTGATCAGGCTGTGCGTCTTGCGACTCCTCTGCTGCAGCTGTGTCTGCAGTGTGATCCGCGCGTCGGGCAGTGCCCCCGAGTAAGGGAGGAATATGACTTGAAAAAAGAGGGCCATACGACAGCAGGTGATCGCGTATATGGCCATGAGCGTAGATAATGCGGTCTGGGAGGCTCTGTCGTAGGCCCGGCCTGTCGGCACGGACGTGCGACACGCTGCTCTGATCGTTCGAGTCTAACGCTGATACGAATCGTCTATGCCTCGACGGGTAATTCGTTGAAGGCCGCTCTGGACGCGCAGCACGTGGCGTCTCGTTATCACTCTCCGAGTCATCCTGGGCCGAATCGCAAGGTTGCTCGACCGCATTCTCGCGGGAGAGCTCCGGGTCGGTGAACGAGGTGCGGGACGATGCAGCCGCGCTCCGGCGTTGTGATGTAGCCGCCGAGCTCGACGCGGACGCAGAGGCAAACGAGGACCCGGCGCTGGGCGGTTGCGGGTCAGGAGTGAGTGTGGTTAAAAGCGTGTCCCAGACCTCTGGGCTCATGCTACGAGTGCGATCTCCCAGACCGTCAACGCCGACGGATGAGCGGAGTCTGCGCCATGCCCTGCGATTGACGGAAGTATGCGCTTCTCGTATGAACTGCCCCGGAGCCGGTTGCGAACGGGACGCGTTGTCAATGACCGCCGAGCCGGGCTGTTCTCGCTCGGGACTGCGATCGAAGCGAGCAGCCACTGAAGGGGCCTAACACAAGTCAGCGGCAAGGCAGAAGATATGACTTTTGGCAGGTTACAAACAATTCGTTCTCGCCGGTATGTCTCTGGGTTTGGCGCATCATCAGCGCCGCGTCTGAGGTTGCGAGCCCGCAACCTGACAAGCTGTGATGGTTGTTCTCCAGCGGGAGACGGACTTCCACTGGTCGATCGGCTAGCAATCAGATAACGGTCGCCTAGAAGACTCATGATACGGTCCTCGTCGTCATTTGCCCTCGTGCGTTCCGCGGCCGCGTCATGTCGCTCCAATCGGTACGTCAACCACTCTGGGAGTGGGGGAGGGGCGCTCGGCGGATTGTAGGCTTCAGGAGGTGGAAGTTGACCAGTTTCTATCCAAGGATAACGCGCAGGCCGGTCCGAAGGCGCAGGATGACCAGCATCCTCCCATTCTCGGGATAACAGCGAACGCTCGGGCTGCTCAAAGCTTGTGTTTGTGAACGTCTCTCGTAATATAGCGGCTCGTCGACGCACGGCACGAGCGACGTCGGGACGGCGGCTGTGGCGTATGGATGATCGTGTGGGACGGAGGCTATTGGCCTTTTCTGGCGACTTGGACTTGAGATCCGACTCGATAGGGGCAACGAATAGTCTATGGGTTCGGGCGTGCGATTAGCAGGCCCCGAGGCGTAGGGTATCAGGTGAGAGTGAGCTCTGAGCCGGGAGAAGATAGGGAGAAGCGCATGTTGGCGTAGAGAAGCAACTTGAGATGGACTATGCGAAATGGCTGACGGATGTGGAGAGGTGGATAGGTGATGAAT